GAACACTCCAAAAACCTATGCTCGTGGTTAGCTAAGTTGCATCGCTGGACCGGAGTGCTGTATTCCATGCCATACGGTGTAGTCGAATCCTAGAGTTCAACGATTGGACTCATGACGATGCACTTTGCAAGCTGGCTGTGAGAGCTGTCTTGGATCCCATATTGCCAGACAGGTGACAGTCTGCTGGTCTGCTGCATCTGAAGCCATTGAAGGTCCGACCCATGTGATTTGTGCGGCAAAGGAAACTTGCAGCAATGTACTGTTGTACTAGAAGATGACAAACAACACACACATACACACAATGAACACATTGTAACACATTCGGCCCAGCAGTCATTGACATCTTGAGTTGAAGTGCGAGTGTGTGCGCTCTAGTGCAGTCGGACAGAGTTTTCCAACTCGCGACGGGGGTTCCGAGTCGTAAAGTCGCAACAATGACATCATTGTCGCTGGCTGCTGATGCAGCTGATAATTTCGCTGAGTTCATGCAGGAGCTGAGGAGAAGGCGTCTTCCAGAGAGGCTAAGGCTTCGGAAGAGGCCAGCAGTCGCCGAGGCAAGAAGCGTAGGCGTCAAAAACCAAAGAACCTCGAAACGGAAAGCCACCTTACAACGCGGTAGTGGGAAGGGTAAGGACACATGGAAGAAGTGCGGAACGTGCCAGGCATTCAAGGAGGAGGACGACTTTAATCAGTCACAGGGGAACTGCAAGTCATGCTACAACAATACGAGATCACTCAAGCAAGTTGCAGAGCGGCAGGAGATGTCGGATACAATCGAATTCATGGAGCGGGATGCGCCGGAGTACAAGACCTTGACGAAGGCCCGGGAATGGTCGGTTGCACCCAGTGCTTTCGCCTTCTTGGAGCAGGGTTTGATTCTTTTGAACACTGCAGTTCAAATGGAACTGTTGAAAATTGGAGTTTTCTGCTTGGAAAAAATTTTGTTCTCATTTAAGAGACTTGGTTGTGTGGCTTGGACACAAATCCAAGATTTGGAATGGAGTGGAAGACGCGCTGCTGGAAGTGGAGCTGTTTGGAGTTTTTTTAAAAGTTTGGCTGTGAAAAAGGATTGTGATTGAGGTTCATTTTGTGTGTAAAGCATAAGCTAGTTGGAGGTAGAAAAGTTTCCAAAGCTTCAGCTTGCGAGGAGGGCCTAGGCCGTGGAGTCGGAAAGAAAGGGCTCAGTGAATCAATGGCTCAGGAAGTACTTGTTAGAAAGATTCTTTTCATGATTTCAAGATGTCAAAATTCAAGTTTTATCAACAATATAACAAGTGTTTGATTGTTTTGTAGGTTCTCTCATTGCCTGTCACGATTTAGGATTGTCATGACTCCTCCGTTGCCATGATGCCGTGATCTTTGACTTTTTCGTTTTTCGACAAATGTTACCGAGCATATTATGTCATTTTACATGTTATTTATTACTTACATTGTCAAATGTCAATCAAATAATCAGATAATCAAAATCAGAGTCTATCATTTACGAACGACGAAACTGCACGGTGGCGCGAGTCACTCCCTCCAACTCCTTGTGACTCCCTCGTGGTCTGCCTGGTCTTTCGGTTCCAGCTTCTGACGCCCAATGTGTTTCAGTTCTGTTGAAACAAATCAAAACGTCGCATGAATTCAAAGACTCATGGAATGAATATGAATCATGAAGTCTTGATTTTGATCGTGAACCCCCAATTCCAGAACTCGTGAGGCTGAAGTCTTGAATTTTTGGAAGTCTTGAGTCCTGAAGTCTTGAATCTTGCGTCTTGAAGTTTTTTGAAGTTTGAAATGAGATAATTAGGTTATAAACATGATAGACTGCCGACTGCAAGAGAAAATGGAAGCAAGTTCAGTGCATGTAAATTTGGCTCTCGCAGCACAATTCTGCCGTCACTTTCCACGTGGTAGCATAAACAAGCGTTGTTATGCTGGCGGTTGCAAAAGTTCGCACCGAATCAATGTCAGCAGTTGTGAGTCTCAAACCGTGGTTTCTGTTCCCTTCGCAGCTGCACGCTAACAGCAATTTGAAGCGAGCCTGAGCCTTGTTCTTTTCAGTGTGTTTAGTTTCTGCCCTCAAAACTGAGCACTCAGCAACGGTGCCCTGGCTCCAGTGAAACGGAACACAAAGATCGGTAAGCCAACAGATTTTATGGAGAGGTGCTCCTGTCTGATCCGTTTGGCGTTGGCAGCCAGAAAATTGCAATTCCAACAAGTTCCAAATGAATTCTGCCATTTAAACAAATTTTGGTCATTTTTGAAGCAAACTCAAGCAAATTGAACTTTTGCAGGTGTTTGGTGGAAAATTGACCTTCTAAGCAGGCCATTCAGGTGGGCCTCGGCCAGCCCCAAAGCGCCTTGGAACCCAACCACCGGAATCCATGCTTGGATTTGCTTTGAAGTATCATTTTGCCAACGCATAATAGCTTCGAGAAGCATTCCCACCGGAAAACCAGCAACATTTGGTGATTTTCAGGTGAGAATTGGTTACCCGGGCTTGGTTCAGGGAGTGGATTCCCACCGGAAAAGTGGCAAATTTGGCAGAGTTTCAGGTGAGAATCGGAGCCCGCCGGAGCCCACCGGAACCCACCGGAACCCACCGGAACCCACCGGAACCCACCGGAATCCCACCCAAAACAACCTTTAAAACATACAAAAATGTGCTGAAAATGCAAAAATGCAGCAGAAAGGAGCAAAAACCACACAAACCCGCACAAAAAGTGAAATTGAATGGAATCCAGCGAAAAAGGCCAACCGCGCCATGAAACGCTCTGTTGTGCAACTCAGTCTGGCGGGACTCCCCGCCAGGAAACGCAGCCCCAATTTTCACTAAGGTCAGGGCCTGCCGGCCTGGATTGGGAGCTGGGAGGGATTGGCAGAGCCTGGAAGAGAGAGGCTGGGAAGTGTGGGAGGCATTGGACGGGGTCTAAATCTAGGAGTAGTGGAGGACGCTTTGTGATGCCCTAGCAGCAGGAAGTTATTTTTTATAACATGGCACAAATGAAGCGGAGTGTAGGCTAGGGCAGATCGGCGTACTAAAGTTCTGAATAAGCTGGCGCAAGGCAGGTGTGCAAAGCTAGAATTGCTTTGGCCTGAGACGGGAAGGCCAAGATGCCCAGTGAATGCATGGTTCTCTGTATCTCATAGCTTGTGCTGGTTGAGAATCAGTACGACCAGCAGGACGAATTGCTCTGATGATTCATTGGAGTATGTTGCAAGATTGGGAAGTCACTGTGTTGCTTTTGTCATGTTGCCTCTGACAGGTTCAAATTTGCAGTGTCTGCTTACAAGTCTCGTTCGAGAATCTCTTGGTGTGACACATTGTAGGGTCTAAGTCCTCGTCTCAGCTCGTATGCTTTCTTGCAACACATTTTGCTGTTGCATTAGGTGAAGCCGGAAACCTCGACCAATTTTTGGTCGCGGAATGGCAGCAACTCATCGCGTTGAAACTTTGTCTCCGTGATCGTAACCGAGAACTCAGCACCGGTGTTGATTCTGATTTGTCAAATCTTCGTTATGTCTAAACAGTTAAACAGGTGCGAGTTTGTACAAGCATCCATTCCCTTCTTACAGTTACTTGGCATGTCAAGCAAAAATGGCCCGGGAAGACCAGAGACCTCTGGGGTCCATAATGTACGGGGGCCAGTTTTTTAAGATAAACTCTCGTGCACGGTTTTGCGAGCGTCCTTTGCAGCACATCCGACAGAGCGATTGGGCATGTCTGTCACGTTTTCGAACGAGAGTCTATTGCATGATGGAAAACGTAGCACAACCTTTGCGCAGTAATTTTTTTAACAGGACAAAAGCGCCCTTGCAATGTTTTCAAGCTGAACAGCATAACCATCTCAGGACACTCTGGTTTTTGCCTCTTTTTTTACACTCTTTTTTTACATGAAGTCTGCGCTGTCCATGGTGATTCAAACTTTCTTGAGCAGTTCCTTTTGCAAGTCGTACGCAACATGGGTTCTGGAGGTTTGGCTTTGCTTTTTCGTTCAACGTATCGTTTTCGGCCCCCACCAATTTTCAACCCAGCCAAAACCCTTCCGAGAGTCCAGGGCGCAACCGGCCACCCGGGAACAGTGCTCAAAGGCTGGAGAACGACTCAAATTCCACTTCGGCAGGCAGAAAGTCGAAATACGGGTATTTAACGAGGGATGAGGTAGAAGCAGCGTGGCAAAAAATGCGTTACGACCCCAAGCATCCCCGGGACAAAGCTGGGCCACGAGGCTATTTGAGACTTTGGATCAAAACCAGGGACAAACTGATCCCTCTCTCTGGGGAGGGTGTTCCAGCTCTCCACTCTGTAGCAGCTACGAGGCTGGTTTCGAGACATGGGGTAGAATTCGGTACTTGGAGGGCCTGTCGATTTTGCGGGCTGGAGGCTCTAGGGCTCGCGATCTTAGGGGCTCTAAAGTGCTTGCAAAAGGGCGCGCGCGGCATCGGAGGCGCTTTGAGGGCGCGCGGAGAGCTCGCGAGCTGTTTGGAGGCGCGCCGTCGTGCTCCGGAGCTGTTTGGGAGCGACGCGCGCTTACGCGCTCGTTCGGCGCGGAGGGCGTGGGAGCAGCTCGTAGGTCGCTCGCAAGCTGCTGTCCGGAGCTGTTTGGGGCTTGCGCGCGCTTGTTCGGCGCGGAGGGCGTGCGAGCAGCTCGTGCGTTGCTCGTAGGCGGCTGGCGAGTGCTCGTGAGTTGCAAGCGAGCAGCTCGTAGGTTGCTCGTAGGCGGCTGGCGAGTGCTCGTAAGTTGCCAGTAAGCAGCTCGCAAGCTGCCGGCGAGCACTCGTCGGCTGCTGGCAAGTGGCGCGTCCTTAAAGTTCCTCTAAAGCCCGTTTTGCAAAGACTTTAGAGCCCCTAAGATCGTCGGAGCTGCGGGCCGTAGGCCCGCGAATCGACAGTGCTCCAAAGTACCGAATTCCACCCTATGTCTCGAACTGAGGCCTGTAGCTATCACAGAGTGGAGAGCTGGAACACCCTCCCCAGAGAGAGAAAAAATCCTCCGGGCCCGGCCCCGTACTGGTTAGCTCGGCAGCGGAAAGCCCGCTTCTCTCAGTGCCTCTCGGTGCTGCTCGGTTGCCCGAGCATAGGCTTGCGGAACGTAAGCAGCGAGAGCCCACATGCTGCCCTCGTGCGGCTCGACCATGTGATAGCGGCGAGCATCAAAGCTCACTGGCTTATCGTGCATGTCCAGCCACCGCCCCCGGAGCTCTTGCTCCCCCTTCTTGCCGGCCAGCAGTGCGGTAGAGTCCCCCTCGTCGTCTTCGATCCACACCCGCCCGCCTGTGTACTCGCCCAGAGCAAGCGCATGATTCAAGTGCCCGGCCATGTTCTGAATGTCGCGGTGCAGCCCCATGCGCGGGTTGAAGAGCACAGCTATGGACGTCCAGGTGCCGTTCGGAAAGCGGCTCTTGAGAAAGCTGTTCACGGCTGCACAGGCTGCCCGCAGGCCCGTGGCATTGGAGACCCCGACCACGCCGCCGTGCCCGAACAGCCCCAGCGTGGCATATCTCTCATAGGCCCCCGGCCCCACGGCCCGCGTGCGGCCCCGGTGCTTCCAGTCCGCCGACCACAGATCCAGCAGCCGCACGAGATTGGCTTCGGTCGGCTCCTCCGTGGCGTGCCGGCACGCCAAATCCATTTTTTACATGGACAGCATTTATCACTCCAAACGCGCATGCCCCTAAAACACCATGCCGCGCCCCAATTTTTTTGGATTTTGAAGCCGCCCGGGGAGGGTGCGCCCCGACGGCCCCGGGCAGCCGGCCGTTTTGCGAGCCGACCACGCACCGGCGAGAGCCCGATTTCGGTGTGTCCCCCGCCTAGGGTTTGAGCACGATTTCGGCCGGATCGGGCCTTTCCTGTCAAATCGGTGCCGGCAAGCCCCGGAACGTGGTCGGGGAGGGTTTAGGATGGGTCGAACACAGCCACACGGAATCGCCGAACATCACGGAACCGCCGCGCCTCCGATTCTCGGGGTGCGCCCTGCCTATGTTTCACACACCCTCCCGGGCCCGCCGGCCAGAAGCGACACAGCCAGCCTCGGGAAGGGCCGCGCATGGCCCAAAAGGCTTTGCCGGGCCGTTTCACACCAAACTGTGGCGAGAGCGCGATTTCGGTGGGTACGTCCCCTAGGTTTGGCTCAAGTTTTCGTGGCCTCGGCCGCTCAGTGTCGATTCGCGGCGAGCCTGTGGCTATCGCCGACCTGATCCGTGGGGGTTTAGGATGCTCACTGATGCTCGCTCGCCTTTGCTCACTGATGCCTTTTCTTTTTGATTTGTAGTGTAGCTAGGCCTGCCGACTTTTGCAGTAACATTTTGCTAGAGTGCTTTTTGCCGGGGTTGCTTTTGGTTTGGTTCAGGGCACCCGAACCCCTTCGGCCCCCGAAGTAGGCTTTGAGACCCAGCGGGCCAGTCTGAAGCTTGGGGTCTTTGTCGAGTGCCCGCTCCTATCCCCGGCAGGTCGCTTTCCACCATTTCCAGGTTTTCCAGGGTTTCCAGGGGGGTCTTGGGAGGGCCCAAAGCCACCCTGGAAAGCGTGGAAAATTGAGTCTAGGAGCTTCATTTTTCCACGCTTTCCACGTTTTCCAGGGTGGCTTTGGGCCCTCCCAACACCCCCCTGGAAAGCGTGGAAAATTGAGTCTAGGAGCTTCATTTTTCCACGCTTTCCACGTTTTCCAGGGTGTTCGGAGTTCGCTTTTGAACCCTATCCTTCCAGCCCGATTCTGGTGTCTAGGAGCTTCATTTTTCCACGCTTTCCACGTTTTCCAGGGTGTTCGGAGTTCGCTTTTGAACCCTGTCCTTCCAGCCCGATTCTGATGTCTAGGAGCTTCACTTTTCCACGCTTTCCACGTTTTCCAGGGTGTTCGGAGTTCGCTTTTGAACCCTGTCCTTCCAGCCCGATTCTGATGTCTAGGAGCTTCACTTTTCCACGCTTTCCATGTTGGCTTTTTGGGCCCTCCCAACACCCCCCTGGAAACCCTGGAAAACCTGGAAATGGTGGAAAGCGATCTGCCCGGCATAAAGGCCTGGGCCTGTTGTGCAGCCTTGCGCGCGTCCCAGCGAGTGCCCTGCGTCCCTAACCCGTAGGCTCCCGACCCCTTGCTGCCCTGCGCTCCTTGTCTTTGCCGCTTTGCCGCGCTCGCAGGTTCAAGCTTTGTCGGGTCGGGGGGTTGCCGGGCGGTCGGGCGGGCAGGTGGGCTTGCGTCGGGACCTCAGTTTGCTTGGGTTGCTTCGGTGTTCGGGTTTCCCCTTCCCTAACCCTTTCTGGTTACCCTGCCCTGCCTTGCTCTGTCAGCGCGCCTCGCCCAGGTCCTCGCCTTCATGTTCCGTGGAGCTCCTCACTCAGAGTGCTGACCAGGGTGTTGGAAGGGTTTGTGGAGTGTCGTGCAAGTGCACAGGAGGGACCTGCGCTGCTTCCCGTAAACCTAGAGTGCCCTGCATTCCCCATTCCCGGGAGCCCCGGCCCCTCCTTCTTCGCCCAGGTTTTCCTGCGAGCGTCTTCGCCGACTTCGAAATGTCTGGAGCCCTGTTGCCTCTTTGAAGTCGGCTGGTTGGCATGTTTGGATGCTTTGGATGCTGGACAGCATTGGGGCCCGACTGCCAGTAGGCTTAGCGCCGACGCATGCCTGCAGAGCACGACGTTCAGATACTTGGTTCATGTGGCTAGCTGCCAAGCTAATACCGCGAAGCTATCATCGTTCACATACTTGGTTAATGTGGCTAGCTGACAAGCTAATACCACGAAGCTATCATCTGTTGCCATGGTTCGCGTCGTATCACTGAGCGGGCGAGAGGTCGACGTCCGCTGGGGTCCCGAGGACACCTTGGCCGATATCGCCGAGAAAGCCAGAGTGGCACTCGGCACCTGCCGCGGACGGCTTCTCCTCGGCGCCGACGTCCTCAACTTCGACAGCAAGATGAAGGATGTGGGGGATGGAGTCCTGACGTTCCAGTCGATTTTGCCCCGCACGCTGGCGAGTTTGAGGGCATACACGATCCTGTACGGCGACGGCACCGCGGAGGCGGTGGGGGACCCTGATCTCGGTGGCCGAGGTGGCGCGCAGGGGGTGAAGGCGGTGCAGTGCACCTGCCAGGCCTTTGCAGCCCTCTTGGATAATGGATCGGTCGTGGCTTGGGGACAGGAACTTGGCGGCGGCGATGCGAGTGCAGATTTTTACGAGGAAGACATCGTGCAGATCCAATCCACCGACACCGCCTTCGCGGCCATAACGATCGACGGCGCGATCGATTGCTGGGGTAACCCGTGCACAGGCGGGTTGGGGCCCCTTCAGCCTGGCGATGATGGTGAACCTGTACGGCTTGACGTGGAGGGAGTGATCGCCATCCAGTCCACTGAGCGCGCCTTCGCCGCGATTCTCAATGATGGCAGCGTCGTGGCCTGGGGTGATGAAAATGCGGGCGGCGACAACCGCCTGGTCCTACCGGCGCTGAAGAATGTCGTGAAGATCCAGGCGACGGAATCGGCCTTCGCGGCCATTATGGCCGACGGTAAGGTGTCTTGCTGGGGTGACCCGGAAGCAGGTGGCGACGGCTTCTGGTCCGAGGATGGGGAGGACCTGTGCGGGGTCGTCGACGTACAGGCCACCAGGTTTGCCTTCGCCGCAATCACGTCCAGCGGCTCCGTGTGCGCCTGGGGTCACGAGGCGGCTGGAGGCGACCTGGGTGGCCGCGTCATCACGGACGCCGTGGCCATCCAGGCAACAGACCTAGGCCTTTGCCGCGATCCTGAAGGACGGCTCCGTGCGGGCCTGGGGCCATGAGACCGGCGGTGGAGACTGCGAGGCCGTGCGGGACCGCTTGGTGAAGGTCCGAGAGATCCAGGCCAACGCCCAAGCCTTCGCGGCCATCTTGGAAGACGGCTCCGTGGTGACCTGGGGCGATGCCGACTTTGGTGGCGATGGGCCGTCATTGCAGAACGTGAGGTGCATCCAGGCCTCGGCAGAAGCCTTTGCAGCAATCCTGTATGATGGCTCCGTGGTCACCTGGGGGGATGCCGCGGCGGGAGGAGATAGCAGTGCAGTACAGCATCAGCTGCGGGACGTCGTCCATGTGAGTGCGGGTCTGGGCTTCTTTGTAGCAACTTTGGGCGATGGCACCACCGTACATTGGGGTGCGATCTGAATCCCCTGGCATGGCAACGGCGCTACGGTACAGAGGCGGCGCCTGCCGGTCGAGTTAAAAAGTGCCCTGTGCTGCAAGTTCGTGAGCCTGCAGTTTGGAGGGCCCTGCCCTCTTGCTCTGCCCAGGTCTCTTCGGCGCGGCGCCTGGACCTTGTCTGTGTCGCCTCTTGAAGTTCGGTATGCTTGTGAAGGGCTGATCTAAATGAATCACTCCCCCTCGCTCCCAGGCCTGGAGTCTTCGGCACGGCTCGCGACGGCTTCGCGCATCGCCTGGGCCCTGGTGCTCTCTTTGCTGCCTCTTCGAAGCCGGCTGGTTGGCATGCTTGTGCACTCGTCGCAGCTTTGTTGATTTCCCGAGCCCCCCAGCTTCAGGGGTAGGTGCGATGGCGCACTTTCGCCGCTCGCAGGCCCCGCGCTGCCAGACCTGGCTCGGGTCGGCGTTCGCCTCGGCTTGGGCGACTATCCGGCCTGCTGCGACCGCCTGCTGGAGCTCCTGGATCCGAAGCTGTGCTCAGAAACTGACCGGATCGGTGTCCAGCAAGCCAACGCTGAGTTGCAGAGGCTCCGGAACAAGCTGGACCTCCTTCCCGAGTCGGAGCTGTCCAAGGCTCTCCAAGAGGCGCAAGGGGCGCCATCTAACGCGGAGCGGCTGTTTGTGACGCTGCCTTCGCAGTCGGCATCTGCCAAGAGCCGCTCCGTTCTTCAAGGGCGAGGTTTGGGAAGGGGCTCCTCTGCTCCCAAGGCCAGTTTGGACAAGTTCATGAAGCAGATGAGGAATACGACCGAGGTTGCAGAGCCCAGCGAGCCGGTTGCAGAGCCCAGCGAGCCGGTTGCACGCAGCGAGCCGGTTGCAGAGCCCAGCGAGCCGGTTGCACGCAGCGAGCCGGTTGCACGCAGCGAGCCGGAGGTTGCAGAGCCCAGCGAGCCGAAGGTTGCACAGCCCAGCGAGTCCGCGGTTGCAGAGCCCAGCGAGCCCGCGGTTGCAGAGCCCAGCGAGCCCGCGGTTGCACAGCCCAGCGAGCCCGCGGTTGCAGAGCCCAGCGAGCCGGAGGTTGCACAGCCCAGCGAGCCGGTTGCAGAGCCCAGCGAGGCAGTGGTTGCAGAGCCCAGCGAGGCAGTTGCACCTGGATTGTAGTGCAACACGTCTGGCTCTTCATACTGGCGAATCTGAGCGTTCAAGAGAGTATCCTTTGAACAGCAAAGACACTTCGGCGCCACTCTGCTGGCGCAAGCACATCGAAGCTTCGCCTGAGTTGTCGTCTTGGCCTTGGCGAATGGGCCACCATCTCTTGCGCATGAGCCGTCCAAGGCTCAACAGTGGTTCCATTACGTTCGCAACAATGCACTGCTCGTGAATTACGGACTGGAGCCACCAAACAGCACAAAGTCCACCAGGCGCTCTGCTTGTAGCGGCCTTCACGGGCGGCACGGCCACACGACTGGAAAGTCTCAGGGATGCACGAGATATCGGCTTCCGAGTCAATGATCACGCATTGGCC